TTAAAATTCAGTGCTTCTATGTTTCTATTTTTGGGGGAGGGAATAGACTGACTCCTGGAACTAAAACTGAAAAGAAACCTTAATGAATTTAATAGAAATCATAAATGTACAGAAGAACTCTTCTGTGCTTTTACTAAATAAGACTCAGGCCGGAAACCCAACTAAGCCTGGAAAGATTTCTGTTCTAGGTAAAAATCTAAGGGTTCGTGAGGTTTATTGACAGTTTTCAGCCACGATTTCCACGTGTTCCTTTCTCATCTAGGGAATATGAAGAAAAAAAGAGAGATGGCCAAGAAAGGACTGGAATCTGTGAGTGACAGGAAATGCTGGTTGTATTTTTTCTTTAATCTCTTCATTTAGATTTATAAGGGCATTTGGGAACCAAAGCAGCAGACAGGCAAATGTCTGTGATGGCCTTTAAAAGTATGTAACTGCCTGACTCAGTTAATAACAAATAATTATCACAGAAAGCCAATAGCTTTTTGGTTTCTTCGGCCCTACAAGTCGTTTTTGAAAAAGAGACTTATAGTCTTAAATATTTTGAAAACTGTACCTAGCACGTCTGCCTTGTCTGAAAGCATCAAGCAGACCTGGAAAGAAGCCAAAACTGGTATTAAGATGTCTATAATGTCATTTCTAATTTGCCTAACTATAAAAGCCCTAGCGAGGCATAATTTGCTACTCTGTAGCAATTTTTACAGTCTGTAAAGCAAATGAATATTTTATAATAAAGAAGAGAAGAAGCATTAAGATATTTTAGGGGGAAAAAGTCACTATCTGGTAATTTGGAGCGCACCGTTTGAAATGCCTTCAAGGCAGTTTGCCTGAGCTGAAATCAGGCCCTTTTAAGACTCCTGAAACAGCAGAGGATTTTAAGGTTCTGCAAACAGAGCAGAGAAGAAACCCGGTGCGATAATTAGAGAGTGAACCTGCGTCGGGCTATTGTATCTGGCGCGCTCCACACCTCTCACTGGGTGGTGCGGTCTGCGCATTGGAGACTTCTGCCAGTCAGGCCCCTGGCCCTGCGTTACGCTGTGTAACAAACAGGGAAGGGGCAGAGACTTGCCCGAATTAATGTCCCCTGCCCGGGAGCTGGAGGACCAGGCACGAGGCAGAGGACGGGGTCAGTGACGCTCGCGGTTCTCACGCGGCAGGCGCTGTAAATCCCGACGTGTCGGCTGAGAGCGTAGAAGAGCTGCCGAGGCAGCAGACGCTGAGCCAGGACACGACTTGAAATACGCGGCAGAGGTTACCGAGGAGCAGTTTTGGACTCAGGAAATGAGAGAGAGAGAATGTGAGGAAACAAGAAAAGCTCTCTGTATGATACACCATCAGAAGTGTTTATTCTGCGGAAAGGAGAAGAACCAATAATAAGGTGTATGCACATCAATTATTTAAAACAATTTCAGCAAATACAGACTTTGACCTCCCTCACCACCCCCCAACAAAAGTACTTGGAGTGATCAAAATTTATTTTGATTCTTTTTTCTTGAACACCAAGTATTTGCTCAACTGCATTTGCTGTCGTTGCACAGGAAAAAAAAAAGCTTGGGCAAGACAGTTAAGTTTTCCCCATGTCTCAGGTCTATCAAGAGGCTATTTTTTGTTTTGAGATACTACAGAAATGATACTAAGTCTTATAAAAGTTACCCACTCACTGGAACATTTAACACTTCAGAATCTGTGTTGCTTGAAAATCCTTATTTATTTTTGGTAGCTTTTCTAGATAGGCCAGTGATGGAAAAATCGAATCCATAGCCAGGTCCACACCTTTGCAGTCGCACTAAAAGGATGAACTGGAAGGAAAAAAGAGAAAATAAAGACAACATAAGAAATTTTTTCTTATGGGGAAATTCCTATTCTGGTAACATATGCTTAAGAAAACTATCTCCCAAGTAGTAAGTCTTGGTAGATTTATACAGAGATGTGTGAGCTAATGAAGATGGCCATACTAATTCTTAAAGCTAAGTTTCATGCCCTGATACTGGTGAGGATAAACTCAGTTAGGCAGTTGTGTGAGAAGTCAGCTCTTTGTGAAAGAGATGTGCACTGGTAAGAAATAGAGGGCACTATAATCTCAGAGACAAAACGGCAAAGCTAAATGACATGTGCAAACAGAGCTTCTCCGGCACTAATGGTGATCTTAATCTTTCTTAACTAGAATAAAGTTAGACACTTAGTCTCGGCTGATTTATATATACCTACGTTATACCTGTTCTACACAGCTGTCACATGCTTATACACCTGTTATAAATCAGCTTAAAACATATTATAAACATCCTTTGCTACTGATGGAAACTAGATGACTGGGTTGGACTTCATGACTAACTTTAAGGTGGCCCAGCTTAGGTGGAACAGACGCCTTGCACCCAATTTATTCTCTGCTGATAATTCTGTAGATGGACAACGTTCCTCAGCCTAATAGGCTGCCAGCTGTGCACTTTGCAGATGCGCTGTGGTGGCTCAAAATTTAACACAAGGAAGAAGGAGGTGGAGGAGGGGGTAGTAAGACGGAAAAGAGTCAGGCTTTGTTTTGTATTCAGGGCATGTCCCCACTGCCTTATTATCACATCAGAAAGTCTAGACCCATCAGTGCTTTCATTACGCAACATTTTCCTCCCCCAAGAATTTATAAATCTGTGACTTTAATTTGTTTTGGGGACACTTGGCAGTCTGATTCCATATCAGAGAGAAAATTTGTTTTATTAAAAAACATCTATAAGCAGTTAATCTGGCAACTTTATTTTAGACCTTGAGAGGTCAATACATAATTTAGAAGTTTTCAGATTCCATTCTGATTGCTTCTCGCTCAAAGACAACCTCGGTTATATGAGCTTAGCTTTCTGAGTGCGGATGTCCTACTTTAATCAGCAAAACTGCTGCCATCAACCCTGACACTCGTGTCGGCCCATACTATATCCTATTTCCTATAGTCAGTGATACAGGAAAATGGAGCAGATACAAATCCGTGCAACAAGCTGAGATCAAAGCTGGTGCAGACCCATGAAGGGTTTGAGGTGGGGGGGACTATTCACAAGTGACCACGGTGAACCTGTGCCCACAGCAGCTCTGACCATGGCATAGCAGCTACCAGGAGAGAGGGAAAGAACCAAAGGCAACTCAGGAACAGAAAACAAACTAGTGATGGATTTCCAGTAGGGGTATGGCTATGTGAAATTTGAACCTTATGAATTGTGCTTTATGAAACCAACTCCTTGGAGTCCAGTCAGGGGCTGCTGAAATTAATAGGAAGATCCCCACTGGTCTCAGCGGGCCGTAGGCCAGGTCTGTACTGTGACAGTACTATTTCAAACCTACACAGGAATAAGTATTTCCAGGAGAACGGCAGCAAGCTGCAGCTGCAGCCCTCCAGGCCTTCACTATGTAAAACTCTATTGATTTACAGCCTTCTCCACACGGAAGTATTGTAGAGATGAATCCTCTAGCTTATGAATAGGAAAGAAGGCCCACCATTATCTTTCACAGCTACAGCTCCCTTGCCATGAATAAATGTTTTATTTTTATTGCATTTGTTTTGTTGGTCTTTAAGAATCCCAACAATTACATGGTCAGGGATATCAGCGGCATGAAAGAAATCGAGATCGTTTACAACTGGTTCACAAAGGCTCCTCTGTAATATGCTGCTCTGGAGAGAGTCTGTGTTGATGGATCCTATTAGAAGTGGAAGGAATGAAACTTTGAAATACTGTTATTTCATCTTTATATGACACATAATGAAGTCACTTCAAATGTCAGTTTTCAATGGAACACAAGATCTCCTGGGAAAGTGATGCCCATTCAAACTTAAAAAATAGCAATGAGCTACAAAAACTCTCCACTGTCTTTTAAGGACATAATGCTATTACAGAAATTAGAGTTGAAAAGACTTCATTCTTTTTTCTAAATCAAAGAAAGGATTTGCCAGATTTTATGGCATTTGCCTCATTTCCTTGAGAAAATGATTTCCCTGAAACTGATTTCATGTTTCTTTAGCTTTTAATCAAAAGTTATGAAGACATCTTTTAATTAAGGATGAGTTACTTTTGATGCATTTTAGCAGCCACAATTTCATCAAATGGTTTATTTGGATATTTTCTCCAACCAACCCCTACTTATCCAAAACTCTCATCTGTCTGGTCTTCTTTGGCATTATCAGTGCTAGAAGTTAAAAGAGTTTGAGTTAGGTCTCAGCAAAGTAACCTACTTCAAAACATTTTTCAAAAATTATACACGAGATTCCTTTTAGTTGGCGTTTAGATTGTCCTAGTTCCTTCTGAAGTTCTCCCTGCACCCCCCGCATGATAAAAACTAGAAAATTGCTTTAAGAAAACAAAACAAAATCATGCTCTTCTCTTAGGCCCTGCCAGTCCCCTCTCATCCTCAGCAGCGTAGCTGTGAGATAAAATCCCAGGGCTCCATTTTAGCTCGCCTAATTTTGGACTCCTACAATCGAGCTCTACCTCTGAACTAGTTGTCTAGCATCCTTCTACAATCAAGAGAGAAACAAAAGCAAGAATAATCCCACTCGTTTAAAAAGTCTACTTTAGGATGAGATGAATTGTGCCTTACAAGTGCTATTTCTCTCCATCAGCTATAAAATAAAGTCTAAATACACAGTTCAGAGGCAGATGTCTCACTTAAGTGAGATGAATCCCATTACAATATTTACAGGAGAACATGAAATTGGGCAACACTGTCTTTCTGATGCTCCTTCATACTTCCTTGTGTATGCCTACTAATCTTTCTAATTTGCTTTTGTTTCCTAAGCGTGATTTACAGTTCATTAACATCTCACAGGGTTTCGGGATCACGACTAAGCCAGGCTGGCTGACCCCGTGGCTTTGGCTTTAAGTGTGTAACCAGTGGCTGCGGGGCTGCAAAGCCAGATGCCGGCAGGAGACAGCCGTGCAGCACCTGCAGCAGCGTGCACGCTGCGCTCCTCAGCTGCTACCGCAGCGGCTGGGAGGAGCAGCTTGGCAGCACAGATATTTGTACTTGCGCCTTTCCCTTCCCTATCTACGACTTGGTCATGCAGAAGACGTGAGAGCTGGAGGATGAGAAGAGCAGGGACTCGGTACTGGTTGCACCCCCCGCCACCTCTTCTCTGTGGGCTATTTATATGGGGCCAGGAGGGGCAGTACCGGGCCCTAAGTGGGAAGGGATCATTCGCATTTGGCAGAGCAGCGGACAGGTTACCCGGAGGGACTGGGGAAGCAGTGAGGGCTGGGTGAAAGAAAACACCGTGGCAGGCAGGCAGGCAGTGTGAGGGGACACTCCAGGCGGAGGTGTGACAAGCCAGGCAGCACCAGTGTATCTCTGGGAAGAAGGGCTGTATTTTCCCACCTATGTGCTTTTTTTCTTTTTCTGCTTGTATGATCAGACACAGGACTGACCTAGATTTAAAAGCATAAACCTGTCTTTGCTAAAAGGCCAAATCAAGTTAACTTAGAAGTTGCAGCAGAGTAATAAATCTTTAAGTGATCTAGCCACAAAAAGACAAGGGAATGGAGTCACGTGCACGCTTCTCTTAAACAGATGCACACCCAGGCTTTCCCACAGCGTGGGAAAAGTCAAAGTCAGAAACTGGCACAGGTTCCTCTGCAGGGGTGACTCAGACTCATAATTTTCAAGCTGGTATCATGATCTTGGTGGACAGCCTCATGATTTAGGAGCTGATAATGCCGGAAAGGCTAAGATAGACAGCTGCACGTATAAGTGGCGTTGAAGCCTGAATTAAGTCATTCAAGTGTCCTTTAACGTCACAGCCCATGATGTACACTACTCTGTGCTGCCCCAAGAAAAAGTTCCGAGTAGTCAGAATTTATGGTGCAATTTCAACATCTCTTTCTGTCTCCTGAGGTAAGATGTAAGGCTCAAATTCACAGAGCGGGGAAGCTCAAAACCTTTACACCGCCTAAAATGGTTTGTGACTAGGAACTAGGACAGGGAACTTGGCTAACTGAAATTTACTCAAGCTTGTGCTGCGTAAAGAGCGTGTAGAAAAGCTTTGTCTGCTTTCGTGCTCCTGAGAAAAAGTGTTGCAAGACTAAAGTGCATAAATTGATTTTGTTCACCCGGCTTAATTTTCCCAGTGAATTTCTGCCCAGCTTTGTCAACCCTGCCCACACAGATCTGAAAAGAAAGCGCAATTCATAGTATCATATTTTTGGTAATCAATACTTTTCATTTACCTATGGGCACATAAAGCAGATATATAAACCTAAGTGTATGTCTGAACTAGATATACAGTCTGTAGATGTACAGGCATAAAAATATACACATCATATGTGTACGTGATTTATAGGAGATATGCTTGTCTATTCAACTCTGTTAAAGTCTATAGAAAGAGAGTTCTTCAGTAGGCTGTAGGTTCTTCAAAACTTTAACAAATGCCTTTGGCCATTAAAGTCTTTTAAAAGTTTATTCTGAAATGGCTCTAAGACCAAGATCAAGACTAACCCAATCTCTTCTTTTGAGGGCTTCAGAGTGAAAACGCTGCTTTCAGGACAGAGACAAAAGCATCAACATTATTGTCAGTACTGCTCTAAAGACCTGCTTAGATTTTTTTTTGTAACAGTTTTGATAAAATATCATAATGACTCCCAAGGCGTTATGACAAACTATTTAATATGACTTCACCTCTCAAAGCTCTGCCACGGGTGCTGCAGGAATCCAGCAAAAAACACTATTGAGGTGGCAAAGTAGCCAAGTGAAAATAACCGTCAATGGGTTTCCCTGGGAGCCTGGGGAGCTAGAAGGAGAGCCACCTTACTGCATTTCACCTCAGCTGCCCACCCAGCTCCAAGAAACCAGCACACAACTTGTTGTGAAGGAAAAAAAGGGACAGAAGAAAGAGAACAGTCTCCACATCAGTTTTTCCAGGAATTCCAGGGAGGCAGGTAAGGCAAGAATTTAGCCTGCCTCAGACTGTTAATTCTTTGAAGAAAGCAATGATAATAAATTACCATTACATACATTATAATAATTAGGGACCCCGATTGCAAAGTGCTGAATGTCCCCCTATCAAATGGATAAGTGCCCGACTTCTCACCTTGCAGGGCTAGGGGGAACACCTGCAAAAACAAACAGGAAAAAAAACCAAACTAATGACCGACCTCATAATCCGAGGAGAGATCTTCCCATCCTTTGCTTGTGTCCTGACAGACTGTAATTTGTCATACACACTGAAGTCTATCAGTCCTACACACAGTTTCTGGTACTTTCTGGTAAACAGAGGGACTAGACTATGCACAAATCCCAGTCTGGATAAAGAATAACGCCACGTAGCTCTGTATTATTTCCTGGAAGCTGACAAAAGGGGTTGATGCTAATAACTGTCAGCGCGTGCATATAAACAGTTTTAGGGCTTTTTTTTTTTATTCTTTTGTGTTTTTTTTTAATAGAAAGAGTGTTATTCATGAGGTCCTTTACTGACAATCACAAGTGAGTCGGAGAAGCAAGGGGTTTTATGGTGAAGGAAATTGTCCTTAGAGACTTTGGTCCTCTGAAGGTCACTGCTATCTCACTTTCTGTAGCTCCTGTCTCAGCCACGATGGCAGGGGCTGTCCCAGTCTGTGCAGCAGTTTGGACAGTTCCACGTTGTGGTCTCGGTAGTAGCTTGACAGAAAAGCTCGAGACTGAGAGGGGTGAAAAAATAAAAACAGTCAGTCAGTCAAAGCCAGCTCACACTAGACTTTGGCATCTGCTTGTATCAGATTGCTATGAGAAACCAGCCTGCCCCCTCTTACCACCTAGAAGCTGGGCACTGCTCCTACAGAGAGGCTGTTTTAAAGGGTAATTAATCTTGTATCATTCAAAGCTCGTTAAAAGCTTCTAGTTTAAAAAATATCAAGCTAGTGAACATAAAAATAAATGTGTTTACTTCAAGAGTCAAATACAGCGTTCAACATTCCTGTACTCAGCACATTTAACTTAAATCTCTGGAAAACTTTTACCTCTTGATCCATTGGTGGGTATTTTCGACCTTTGCTTTTTCCCAGGCACTTTGTTTTCCCTCCTTCCAGTAACTGGCACCAAAAGCCTTTTTGAGGGTCAAACCTATAAAGGATTATATTTTAAGAAAGGTCTAACTATGGAAGAATCTCCAAGCTACTAAAACAGAGGGTTAGCCAACAATTTTTGCCACACACACGTCTCTAGATAACTGAGATACTGAGAACTGAGAGGGAAAAAGCCTGCCTCTCCTACGAAATCTTTGGGGATATAATATTTTCCACCTTGGGAAGGACTCCAGGCAACGTGTTTTTTGCATGGTCTTTACCTATGCCAGCTACTTCCTTATTGTACTAGTCCAGGATATAGGACACCAAGTTTCAAGTGTTCTCTCTCTGATGCTGGTCAAGGTCCTGAACCTCAGTCTCCAGGATCTTACACGGCTCCGTTCCAGACTGCCATTCATATTTTGTTGTCTGCTTTTGATCAGGGATTTAATCCTTGTCAAACTGCTCCACGCACCCCTGCTACATGTTTAGGTTTTGATACACTGACACTCGAAGGATGAACATTTTCTCGGAAAATTACTAACCAGCTATTTTCGTGGACTTACACGCACCGCAGTCTCAAGAATATAGGCTGTGCTTAAGGAAAGTTCTCCATATGGCCAATAGAAGATGGTATTACTGCAAGTCTGTACTGTTAATATGAGAGAGGTTCAAAAGTACAAGCTGATTTCTCTGCTGACTTCAACAGACAAAGATTCAAGCCTTAAGTATACGTATATAGAAAAGTGTGTTATTATTGTGCGACTATGGAACTATGAGAAACATAATGCTGAAGTGTTTTATGTTGATTTTTGAGTGAAATAAGCAGTATTTAGGTCCTCTGAAAGAACTTCTGGTTGTTTGTTGATTAGCTAACTGCACCTGAGAAGCTGATTGCTCCACATCCCCAGATCTAAATCTCATTTTCATTCCAAAGAAGGCATTATAGCATAAACAGTGTCTAAGCAATCCTAGCAGAAATATACAATTTTATCGTGAAATATACAATATACAAAGATATAGGAATTTTAGATTAAGGCATTAAAACCCATACTCACTAAGGAATGAACAACATGAAGTGTTAAATTTTGAATTTATTGCTATGGGACTTACAGCATGCATAAAGCATTGAAAAGGTTTGCATTTTTGCAAAAACTGCAAAAATCTGTTTAGCAGATGTTTGAAAAGGATGAAGTATAATTGGCTGGAACATAGAGTTAATTAGTTGCAGACCACTTTTTGCCCTGGGTCTATCTATATGACACCGGTGCACCTGCAATTTGCTGCTATACCTATGTGAACTAATTTCTGGGGAAGGGTGAACCTTCCTCACGTTTTCATGCCCAGCCTATCGTTGCAGGCCTAACCCTTGTTTCCTAAATTGTCCCAGTAGGTGTATCAATTAAAAATAAAATAATCATTATTAAATGGATATATTCATGGTCGACTCATTTCTACTTTGGCCTTTCAATCTGCTTATTGCATAGCCAAGTACTTCAGCTGGCTTGCACTAATTTCCCAGGAGAAGAAGCAATACAGCAGGCTGTGCAAAGGGAAAGCTGAGAAACTATGCCCCAAACAATATTTCTGCCTCAGAATGAGTATATTGAACATTATTAAGAGAATGTGCAAATTCGGATGGGGGAAAAGAATGTAAGACAACTCAGGCTGAGCTCAATCAATTGTGCTCAGTATTACAGAAGTCTTAGGACTTCTGAAAACACAACTCAGCGCAATGGAAATACTTAAAATATTTAAAAATAGTGTTAGCCTTACGGTTAAAGGTTTTTTAAAGCAGTCAGCAGAAACCATTCCTCCCGTCCCGGTTATGTTCTCCTCCCCCTGGCCAATGCAAGCAACTTCCTTGGCCTTCCTTACTTGGTATGAGCAATAGTTCACTACCTACTCACAAGGCAGGGCAATACCATCATCACAAAGCACGTATGGGGAGCTGAGTTACACAGAAAGTAAGACTTCCTCTACGTTACTGGGCAAGCCTGTTATAGGTGAGGAACGCATCTGTAAGGGTATACAGGACATTTCTGAGACCTGTTTGGACCCAAATGCAGACAGGAGCCCTCTTCCAGAATGAAAGCTGCTGCTGGCAAGGGCTCGCTCTCGCCAGGTCTGTGGCAGGGATCATCTCCTCCGTGCCTTGGAAGTGCTCCTCGGCGTTGCTGGCTCCGAGCCCCCCCGAGAGCCGGCACGCCGGGCACAGCCCGACTTACACCCAAGTGGGGCAAACTGTTAGCGAGCCAGGTGGCAGCAAAGGTGGTCTGGACAGGCTCGTAACGGCCCTGCTGCAACTCCATGCTTGACAGTGAAGAGCTCTGAAATGCAGACTGCCCAGGTCAAATCCCGGGTTGCAACAAGCTTAGTTTTCAGCTGTACTCCTTCATGCAAAAAACTGAGAGTTTTGCCCTGCATTTAGCAATCGTTAAGAGATCGGTTTTGCTGCTCTTTTGGCTCTGGCGCTTAGCAATCCACCAGTCCTCTGGCAGCTGATATTCCCTTGGTCGCAGGCGGCCGCAGGCATCTCTGTGGAAAAGACTCAAGCAGTTCCACCAGGAGAACATTTTCCCTGTTCTCTGGTGAAACTTTGCAGCACTCCAAGAGAAAACATTTACTTAAGCACGCTTGCCTAATCCTGTCGCTACCCGTCTTTTTGTTTCCCTCCTGTTGTTCATTTGAGGGAAAACGAAAAATGCCACGGACATCCTCTCCGCTGTAAAGCAAAGGGTGGTCGCTGCGCCTGGAGCTCCCTCTGCGAGCAGAGCTGGGTGTGATGGGCTGCACCGGACGGAGGCAGCGGTTGGCTCTCGGGGCCACTTTTCCCTTTGCCAAAGCCTGGCTCTGCTTTCCTCCAGGGGAACAGGGTTTGGCAGGAGACCTGGACATGGCAGTTCCTGGATCACATCCATTCTCATTAAGAGTGCGATGAAAGGCCCTAGACAGGTTAGATCAGATCTGCCTTGGCTCTCCCTGCCAAAAACCAGCAGCTCAGGACTGCCAGGATACGATTTTACTGCCGTACCTGTAGCTCATTTTTTTGGGCGAGCTCTCCCTTGACTCAGTGACCACGACCGCCTGGCTCCCTTTCTGCCTGCTGTCTGCTGAGGAAAATAAAGGAAGGCGGGAACCAGCAGTTCATGCTACCATGGACTGTGAGTCATCTGAGGATACCACGCATTAAATACATCTTCCTAGCAGTCACTGGGGCCATCAGTTCATCAAAAGGAAAGTGCTTTGATAAATTTAGTCCCAACTGTTCTAGGTTTTTGTTCCTTAGGCTCAGATACTTAAACAATGTAAGCCCTCAGTCACACTTTGTGACAACGAGTGGGTAGGGGAGAGAGGGGAAACATCCCTTCAGTGCTGGAGCGTGAACTTCATGAACACCACTAGCCCGTTTCCCTCTCCTAAGACTTTTATCTGAGGATCATAACGTGGTTTTATAAACGGCATTATGTGTAAAAGCCTTATAATATTGGCTGATTTTTTCTCCTTGTTTTTTTCCTACTCTAATAAAAAGCACGCGTCCTATTTAGCGGTGTGTATAAGAAATGATGCTGTGGCTCCCATCTTCAGCTGCTGCTAGGCACGCTTCCTACTAACCCAGCGTGATGGTCGCTTCTCTCCGGATGCCCCAGCACTGCCTCCGTCTCCCCTCGGCTCTCTTTCGTGGCTTCAAAAGGAGGCAGTGCTCCGGTCAGCACCTTCCTTGGGCCTGGGTTAACTTTACTGTCCCATGAGACGTTCATGTGATCACTCAGGATGATGAACTTGTTGCTCACTGGTGTTCGCAGGCCTGGCTCCTTAGGCTGCACTGTGACAGCTTTAAAAATGTGTGCTATAGAGCTTTAGACAGTAATGACTAGGAACAATGCTACGCAATCTTTTTTTATTTTGACAGTCCTAACATGAAGCCACTACATCGTTTAGTGCGTTTTCCTCTTCCCTCCTGAATCCATGCAAACCTATGCGCTTCCACAACACATTTGCATTCTCAGTGTCTCTAAACAGTGACTGCATAATTTTACAGAAGTGTTTACAACCCATTTTTCCTGTCCAAATAAATCTGATAGATTTTTCCTGGGGTGTGACTCCACTGACTTTAATTTAGTTACACAAAGGAAGATACATATATATGTGCGTGTGACTATTGAAAAGCAGAGCAGAAGGCACTGAAAATGTGCAACAGCAGTTGTTCAAACATCAGTAGTTTGGCTGTGTACTGAAACGCCTCCTGCATTTTGTCTACTTTAGAAACCAATGACTTAAAAAATTACATTCTGAAACCCGAAATGTTTCCTCTAGAGAAAGATTTTGGCAAAGCAACCTTCTTAAGACTTAAAGAGCGGCAAACACTGAAACAATTCGCAGTTTACACCTGTTGCATAAATAGCTATAAGCCTCCCAAAGGAGGAAAGGCACGTGGGTGGAAACTCTGCAGTCTCATTTCCCCGTAGTTTTCCTGCTGCCAGGGAAATATCTTGTCTGTGGGGAAGGTAAGGCCCAGGCTTTTTGACTTTCCACCTCCTGCGCAGCGGACGGGGAGCGCTGTGCCAGGCCCCGCTGGCGGAGCCCGGGAGGCAGCCCGGCTCCCGCAGCTCCCACCCTGCGCTTGCACGCTGGCTTTGACAAACCTCCCCCGCGGCGCAGGACTCCTCAGCCCACGGATGTGCCGGGGCTCTCCCAGCGCAGCGCTTTTGTCCGTGATGAAATAACGTTCCCCACATGGAGAGGCTCAGTGCAAAAGCGCCTTGCGATTTTCTGCTGGACTAGAAGGGGAAAGATAAGTTCAGCCCGCTGCCGCCTCTGCAGAGAGTCTGGCTTCCTGCAGGGGACTGACAAATGTCAACGAGCGGGTGCCGCACAGGCCAGTAATCCCCTTTCATGGGGAAAGCCTTATCCTCTCGGTGAGGAGGGTCAGAAACACGATCCGAGCTCATCACAGCCACCTGTGCTAGGTCTGAACCAAAGGCCACGGCAAGTCAGCCGAAAGGCTTTCACGCAGTCCAGGGGGCCTTGCCTTGCATCGGGCTGCCGCAGAGCACTTACAGCTTCAGCCCAGACGCCCCGGCCGCGCCGAGCCGGGCTGCGCAGGCTGAGCACCTAGTGCCGCCGAGGCAAACAGGAGCTTCCACCCCGTGCCCCAGGCGCCGTGCTTGATCCCGGCACTTCCAGTTCAGGGATCTGCTAATAGCGGCTGATAATTTCACCAGACTTTTGGTGTACGGACTAAAATCTTCCATGCCATGTGTCTGACTGCTACTGGGTGAAAAGTCAGCAACGCTGGCTCAAATGCTTATCAAATGTAATTATGTAGTCACGGAATGATGTATTTTGTCCATGTTAAAAGCAAACCAACAGAGGAACCTTGCAAGCAGATGAATCCCACTAGACTGCCACACTCATGCAGCAAAAACATGTAACCCGAACTTTTCACACCTGACCTTAAGTGGTCTTCAGCTTCTGGAGACTATCATAAGGTTCTACGCTCTGATATGCAGATGTGAGCTCAGCCCTCACATGTGCAGTTCAAATCAACTGGACCTAAATGTTAATCAGTACAGTTATGCGAGCAATACCAAGAACCCTGAGAAACCAGGTCTTGGGGATCTCAAACTGAACGATCAGATTTAGCGGACATTTTTTACGTGAATCTGGGCCCTGGTTCTTTGCCTGGAAAGATGGGAATTCAGAAAAAAAAAATTTAGATTTATGAAGTATTTAGAAAATATAAAAGCCAGTGAAAAGGGAAATTCATTATATTTTTAGAGGACACCATGAGCACCAATCACAGTCAGTAAACCCAAGGCCAAAATAGGCAGCAGTGAGCCTAACACAAAATACTGAGGAGTCATTTGTTCCATTTGTTGTGTGACATAGAATTTGCATGTGGAAATAGTATGCTTTCATACAGTTGAACACTGCAACATATTATATGCATGCAAGGTAAGGGAAGACAGGACTTAAACCTCCTCCCCAAAACTTTGTATTGCTTAGCATTGCAAAATTGTCATTCTTGTAATGTGTGGGTTTTTTTTTTTTTGGTTTGTTCACTGTTCTTGGGAGGAGGGGATGTACAGGGTGATCTCATAGGGCAGATAATAAAGGCATAGACTCACGTTAGAGCTTCAGAGTAATTGTAATGAGGAGAGACGCCAAGAAACTTCTGCACTTCATCCATCACAGTAGCTGGGTCACTTCTTAGCTGCTGTCCATCAATAATTAGCAACTGTAGGGATAAATATGCTATTCATTTAGAAAAAGGACTAAGATTAATGAAGGAATGACATTATTTCCCTCTTGTGACCGTACTAGTGACAACATGGATTTAAATTAACATGTCATTTTGTACAGTTTTATAACAATCCTGTGACTCAACTTCTTCTCAGATTTACTGTTGTACTTGTGATATGTTGAATCTGTATAGGTAGGCACTTGTAATTCTTTGTGCGTACATTGCTCAAGCAGAAGAGTTCAAATCTCATAAGCTAAACCTGAGTCAGAGAATTCTGAGAAAAAGAGATAAGGCAAGAAATATAAAACACTGCCCAGGTTTACAACGTGTTCATAAGACACATGGTATGAAATAAGAACAATAATAGAAAGCTCATACCTGTCTTAGAATTAAATGTTCAGAAGTAATAGAAAGGTAATTTATCTGAGAATTACCGCCAGCCTATCGACTGCATAAACTTGCAAAATTGTTAGCAAAGGGGTCTTTTTTGGTTGTTTGTTTTTAATTAGAGAGCGATGTGATGTAAAGGTACATAGACTTCCACAAGCAAATGCTAAGTGTATGTATCAAAAGCTTACTGGAGTACTGAAAAGTATTACTAATAATAGCTCTTCTGGAGGGATGTCTTTTATATTTATTGTGAAGGCTTATTATGAATTATTAAGTTTTTGAGCGCACAGGCTGAGTGAATGCACATTACTGAGCGTGCATTAGTAAGCACCGTGAGTGCACTCTCTGTAAGAATGAGTGCCTTTTGTTGTGTATCTTGTAAAATTAATCACTACAACTATGAAACATGAGTGGTGACCAAGCTTACAAGAAATATGTCAATGTGCACCTGCATGAGTAATAAGAGGGCTGTGTTCGCTGTTTGCTGCTGCAGGAGCAAGAGAGAAATCTTCACGAAGCGTGGCAGCAGGCCCGGGGTAAAGGCAGACCAGGAGCCCAGGTAACCGGGCTCTTGGTGCTCAGCACCCTTGGCTTGGTCTGAAATTCCTGGGGCCAGGTGGTGCCCATGGTGCAGTGAGTGGGGAACGCGGCTCTGGCGAGAGGACGTACCCCGTCCCCAAAGCCCTCCTGCACGCCCAGCTGCTTGAAGGGACGGCTAGTTTCCTATTTTTGAAAGAGTAGAAGGGCCAGAGATGAAAGAAGAAAGTAAATGACCAACTGATTCTTTTCCCTTTTTATTGGGAATTGGATTGACCTGCTTCTCCCTTCTGTAGTACAGCTGAGACTGTACAAAAAGAAAACTGAGGACTGCAAAAGACAGAGCTTGTACTTCCTTTTGTTTTTCCTGGTCCTTGACTAAATAAGCAATCTCAGGAGATATGGCTTTGTTCATTAAATATCCCTTTTACACCTTTCTCTTACAATAGGCAGAGGTATAATCTGGACTATGGACCACATACACAAGACTGCCTTTGCATATGTTTTGCATCACTAAAGCATTTGCTTTAGCTTTATATCTGGAAATAAACATAGTATAGTAACAGGAATGTTCTCTACGTCTACGTTTTTATGTAATTTTTTTATGGAAAATATTCTAAAAGACAATTCGATAAAACATCAGAAGGGGGAAAAGGAGGGATTCCTGCTCTAATACTGAGAAAGGCTAATTCTGTATCAGGATTGAACAAATGTGAAATTTGCTATGAAAGGGAATGAGTGGGAGGAGGAATGAAATTTCTTTCAGAAAAAGGCTTGGCATTTTCTAAATGAATTTGTCAAACCTTCCCACAATGTCTCATGCTGCAGCTGCTCATTTCGGGGGACCTAGAAGCCTTGACTGCCTTGGTTAATCCTGGAAGGGAGGCCAAAAAGCCCTGGATCAAGCCCAGGTGGCCACAGTTCATAATGTTTTCTTGCTGCATCTTTTTCCTCAGAAGACAGAAAAAGCAGCACGCTCCCGACAACCCCTCTGATCTTTGACAAATCTGCATTTTCTAACAGCTAAGAGTTCCACTGGGAAATAGCCCATCACCTCTGACGATAAGGCTGTATTCATTTTAGGATTTCCTGAGTCGATGCGTGTGGTGAGATGCCAGGTTGGGAATTACCTGTGAAGCAGGATAGTGAGTTAGCCACCTTTCGATATGGATAGCATACCAGCCGGGGGTCAGACATCTCTTCTGGAGAGTCCTTATCTCGGAGGGCGCCCAGTGGCCTGACGTAATCACTTCATAAAAGTTGAATTTCAAGGCAGCGGGGTCCTCGTGGGATCGTTGATGCTAACGGAAGATAAGGACACACGTCACAGTGGCCCAGAAGATTAAGCCATAGTCAAAGAGAAAAAAAGGGAACAAGCGAATCGCTGTGGTACAGCTAACTCCCATGAAGAGCAAAAATATATCTCATAAGGACCTCCTTTCAGACAAGCCCTGTATCTCCCCTCTTCAGCAGAAGCGATCAGGCTGTGCTTAATTTGGACGCCTGGTCGCAACCTGCCGAGAGGTGAGGGGGCTGTGGCTCCCCCGTTCTGGCCCTCTGCGAGCTTCGTGCAGGAACCGCTAGGTCAGGTTACGTGGGCATGCTACGTGTATCACGTTGGATGATCACTGCTAGTTTTAATACACATAACCATTTCTCGTACGGAGAGGACGCTTTGTCCAGGCGCTCCGATAGCTGTTTGGAAAATCGAGGGAGTCTGTTTGAAAATTATACATAAACTCGGTTTCCAGCAATGTTTAATCAGCTGCATTCCCGCAAACAGCGCTGTCACTTGGCAGAGGTTTGCAGACGCTGACCGGCAGCGCGGGACGGGGCTGGGAGGCAGAGCTTGCACAAGCAGCACAGCTGCAGCCACAGAACAAGCCCACGGCTCCCCCAACGCCGCTTCGGGCAGTAAGAGCAGGGGAGACCAGGAAGCAGGACAAGGCCCCCCGCTTCAGACAAGGGCCCTACCAGCACTGCCGTAAGGAGAGCTGCCGCTGCTGAGGGAGGAGGAGGCAAATTCTGCCAAAGTAGACACAATTTTTTAGCGCTTTGCATCTCGCACCGTCATCTGGAAAGGTGCAAATGTGATATTAAAAAGGGTGCAAGTTGCAGCCTTAAACCAAACTTTATTCCTCGCAGAACCCGTAGTAATAATTTCAGAAATGATGTTCCTTATGCCCGATGTAACATTTTTCATTTGTCTCTATTTTAACACTGTTTTAACTCTTTCTTTTTTTTTTTTTTTTGGTATAACTACACCACATTTGGCATGCATGCTTCGATGCCTCTCAAAACAACAAGTTCATCGGCTTTCTTCTGGAAAGGTGTGGACTCAGTATGAGACAAGAAGGAGTATCCTAGAGTTTCCTAGGAAAACCAGCAGGCTTTCTTCTGTTCCCAGGGAGAAAAAAAAAAATCATTACTCTTCAGACCCGTCTTTTTTTAAACACCTCAGAAACTTGAAAAGATATCGTTTACACTGGTACCCTGAATATTGCTCAGGGTTTGTTCCTTTGAAGCTCAAGATCTGGATGATGTATCAGATTCTCAGTCAGAAAAAAGAGCTCAGATTTTCTGACTAGGCCACGCTCTTATTCCCTCCAGCATCTCTCTGGGTGAGGAGCACTGCTTTCCCTCCATGTAGTGCCAACTGTAATTGAGATTAAACTGCTTGTTCACAGCTTGTGGCAGCTATGCGCTAGGAAATTCCATCATTTATGACACTGATGCAACTGCAGGAGCTGCAATTCAGCATCCATTCGACGTCGAAAGAGTGCAAATGCTTTGCAATAAATCCCCTTCCTGCTCAAGGGCACAAATGCCCACTGGTGTTGGTCATCGTTCCCTGCTGTTGATTTCACTGCCCATTTCTAGAAGGCAAGGCCCGTACCTGATACCAGGAGTACGCCCGATCGGATGGGTCGATGAGGATGGTGATGATCTTGGCCTTGGGGATGAGGGAAGCAGCTCGTCTAGGAGCTTCCTCCGAATGGAAATAGTTGGCGCTTTTCTCAAAGAGCAAGTCGGTGGTGGTGTTGGAGGGAGTGGGGAAGAAACTCATGTACCTGGGAGAGGAAAAAAACAATTACAATTAGCAATGCAAAAAAAGGGGGAGGGGGAAAAATCCATGTGTTTTCTCCAGGGAAAGGTGAATTTTCAGAGGCAATTCTTAAGAAGCAAAAATAACTTTCTCAGCTCACTCCAAAACTGGAATAGGAGGAACAGATCTTGGCATTTCGATGGTGCTGGTAATAGCTGATGCCGCCATGAAGTCAGGTAACTAGGTTTTCTTTTCTGAGGGATGGAATTTTTGCTAACAAGGTCAGCGGCAGAGGGAAGTCTTCTCACCAGTTTGGAGGGAGTGCAGTTTTAGCTGCAGGAAAAATGAGGAAAGCTCCCAGATGTCAACCATTTAGTTTTAACATTTCAAAATGTTACATTTTGGAACTGACAAATCTTGTCTTTTAGATATTTTCAGAATGAGAGTTTTCAGATTTTAGCTTTGAATGGTCTTTCTCATTTATAATTCGTTGAGAGTAACAATAAGTAAAATGGGACGCTCAGTTGAAAGGTTTAAGAATTTAAACGAAGCAAAATGTGAAACTGCTTTGGAGGCGGCTTTTTGGTCCCCTGAGTTTTGCTGGGAACTCCAGGAAATTCCAGTTTTATTGTGGCCAGTTGTTTTTGTATACTTTTCTGCGGAAACAAAGTATGTGTGGTCTCTCTCTGCACACACGATCCTACCAGTGTTCAAACCCACGGGCCAAGTTGAGTGAAATGTGGCAGCAGAGGTCTCAGAGAGGGCTGTCTCTTCCTCTACCTCTTGTAAAAACGGCTGCAGAAGAGACGTCTTCTGCCTTGAAAGAGGGAAAGGCCACAGCGAAAAACTCACTCTCTCGCAGAGCTATTCATGGGAGAAAGGCAGTGTAAATGCTCCAGCCGTGCCCCCAGCACCCTGGGGCTCCAGCACCTCTGCTCCTTCCTCCTGCTTCTTCCTCCTATGTAGTACACCTGTACATATATATATATACTCCTTAAGTATACCCAAAATGCAGACTGGGGATCCCAATCTAGGGTTACCATGCACTTGAATTAGATGTACACCTTCCGGTCTCGCAGTATTCCCAAAAACTGACAGATCTCAGCAATAAGCAGAGAGCGCACAGACTGAGCCAGCAGGGAGCCCGGGATAAGAAGTGTGCTAACACCCAGAATCACAGTTCGTGTTGGACCGAGAGCTCTTCCTTTATGCTGCATGAAAAACAGATGCGAGGCATTTCTTTCTCTTTATTTTTCGTGACACTTTGAACCTAGAAGCTGATCTTGCAGTTGCAGTGATAGCCTGCTTTTGGCAGTTAGTTTCCTGCGGTCGGGACACGCTCCACGCATGGGCAGTGAGACCAGTCCAAGGAGACTAATCTTTTCCTGTACGATGTGATGTTTGTCTTATATCTCAATTTTAACACAAGGATGAGAACAGCTGTTCCCTGGGGAAACAAAAGCCTTACAAAATACAGCAAAAACAGTGAAAACAATGTTTAAAAATTGTAATAGGAGTACCAGCTGAAATTCTTTACGGAGAGGTTTTTTTCTCATGAAGAGCAGAATCTTACTTCCTGAAAAGCCCCATTTCAGGAAAAAAGAGTATAATTCATCCCTTTTGAAATTGATACAGTTATGAAAAGACACAGATTTTATTCTGCATGAAGACAGACATCATAACTGAGCTTGCTGTTGTATTAATTTGCTAAAAATACAAAAACGGTAGTATCTAAATAAAATTAAGGACTTGATTAAAAGTCCCATTGTTCTGAGTTATTTTCCCATTCTCTCTGATAATGCCAAGCATAACAAATTCATCCAGTAATTATGTAGCTGTCATACATACTTCTGTAATTGCTCCATTGTGATTTAGCATATATTAATAATGAAGACTTCTTTTTTGTTATTCTTCTTACCAGTCAATTCCTTTGTGATAGTTGTTTCCATTGAAGAACTGAACTTCTTCAAAAGTTTTTGGGCTAGGGAGATTACTGATGATGGAAGGATGCATCAGAAGAAATAAATAAAGTGCCGTTGTTCCTGCAACAACAAAAAGAGATGCCGCTAGGAAACAGAAAATAACTTTGACTTTACTCATTTAAGCAAGTCTTTCTGAATCAATGCACACTGAGACATACTGGGAAATTAGAGACATCATCTTTTATAAGAAAATTGCCTGTTGCTGCGTAAGCTCACGGCGTTTTCAGGAGCCGGGAGCGTGCGGGGACCTCCTCTGTGCTCATTAAACTTTGCCCATTTCAAAACTCTGAATTCTGCTCGCTGATGCAACCGTGACGTTGCTGCTGCTGATACTGCTCGCTTGACTGCATCGTTATCCAGCGATGGAATTTGGCCAGAACATGCTTCTTTCTGAACTTTTTGTTGCCCAAAACTTTTCAGACGTACCCTGTGTGGGAGTATGCTTCTGTTGCTCCCAGACCTGCGCTTTTGTTCTCTCTTTATTTTTCCTGGGGGTAAAGCTCTCTCAAGTGACATTGTGTATTTCAATGCCAAGAAACCTGTAATAAGTACACTTTAAAATCCCAATAACAAAAATTTTCTTTTTTATTTCCTTGATAAAAACAACTGAACTGATATATGATGTTAAATGAAATTTCAGGAGAATGTCTTTAAAATTGCTCTTTAGTGATTTTTATGCTATGCAAAATATCACTGGACCATGAATCAAGAACTCCTGTCTCTTTGTCACTGTCATTGAATTTCTATATAATCTTGGATTAGTCATTTATTTTCCTGCCTCAGCATCCACTTTCTGTAGTATGTCAGTAACAGTAATAGCTACCTTGGGAGTGGGAGTATGTGGCTTGATTTAAATAATGTCCTGAGACCCCCCAAAGAGGCCTGTAAAGTGGTAAGTAAGTTTATTGTCAATTAGGGTCTCAAATGACGTTGAGATGATTTGTCAAAGAATACAAATAACAAACTTTACTTAGGGTGTCCTGACAGCACATTTTTTAACAGTGAATGCTTGCATTGCTTTCTGGTGTGTGCTCTTATCTCTGGGGGACTAAACTCCACCGTGAGAGTGGGTGTATGGAGCTGCCACGTACCAGTACCCCTACCTGGCTGTTGTACACCCCTGTTCGGCTTTTGCTCCCCAAAGCCTGTGCCTACTGGCTCTGCAAGTGAAAAAATAGCCTAACAGAAACCACCAGTGAAGCGGTTTAACTCTGTTTGTTATTCTCATCCACAGCCACCCTTCGGTGCCGAGAAAGTAATCAGTGCAAAATTATCCCTTAAATAGGTGTACACAAATGCTGTGAACTGCCTGCATTTGGCTTCCAGTGTTTCTAATCACACTGTTTGCCCTGCGGTGCAGGGAATTCTGCACCTTTACTGTCAGTGAAATCCAACCCTGGGAAGACTGTCAGCACAAAGCCTATACTGCTTCATACTGCTTAAATCTCCCCTTTAAATAGGGATGAGCCTGAGGGCAACTTCAGCCTGTTTTCACAATAACATCTAGCATGGCAGTAGAAACAGTGGAATCTCACTGCAAGAGGGAGTCTCTCTAAAGCACTGAGCTAACTCTTCTTCCTGAAAAGAAGTCAGCCAAATGTCCCACCAAAATAACTGGTCCCCATCCAGAAAGAAAAATCATATCCATTAGAACAGAGACGGCTGTGAAGTTTTGGTGCTTTTCTGCTCGAAGAATTGTGACAGTAACCCAATGGCGGGCGGTACTGGAAGGTGAAAGCCTTTTCACTATAGGAGCAGTTGTCCCTGTCTGCTGGCAGTGCAGGAGTCAATCCCCCATAGGCACTGGGAATGCCTTATCGCTAGAGCCAGGAGCTGGCTTCAGCGTGCAGGAGACAAACACACAGGTACAGGACTGGGGGCTTGCTACCAGCATGCCGAGGCTTACAAATCCATTATTTCCTACCTGTTTTCTGGGGTCCTATGACGAGAAATTTGGGTAGATGGTCACAAGTTTTATCTCTGGACCAAATGTCCCTGTGTCTTTTATCGTCACATGGGTTCTGAAGAGGAAAAACAGACAGTTGCTCATGCCAGGGAAATCCTAAATGCATCACACGCGCGCCAGTCATTGCAGGATCCAAACGTTATGCACTGATGCCAGAGCCTTATGCTAAGTAGGAAGATCCCAGATTTCCTCTTACGAGTTCATTCTCGACAGATATTGAGCGCTCTGGTACGGCTCCATGGACGCACTTGCATTTTGGCACGTACCGGAGCGCTTAGGTACACAGGGACCAAACTGCTTGGCACCTTTCAGGGCTGATCCTTAGAGGGGTCCCAGGGAAGTCAGTGAAGCTACACAGCTGGGCACATCTGAGGAGGATCAGTGTCAAAATCCAGACCCTGTGAGACCACTGCAATTCTTCCTGTATGTTAGCCCGGCTCTCTTCATCAGCTCAGAGTCCTCAGGCATATGCTTAACCATAGGCACTTAGTGGGGTGTGCGTGTGTGCACGCGTACGTGGTCCCTTTGACTGAAACTGAATGTGTATATCGTGGTTTTGCCGGACTGAGGATTAAGCTCAGTCATTAAAAAGAAAAAAGAAAAGAAAAGGAGAAAAAGATTAAAACATTGATTTAATCAAGCTTTCATTTGAGGTTAAAATGGAAACCTCTCTTTGAATAGCTTCAAGGCATTACTTTCTTAGGCGACAAAATGGTTTCAGATACATAGCGCTTAGTGCCGATTTTATTTACATAAGAATCCAAAAGGAAGGACAAAAAAGAAATGTGAAATATTATTCATCCCCTTATCTTTCTACTACCTATAAATACAAAATAAAAATGTGTGAACAAAAAGCCCCACAGAAAAGGTTAGGACTGACTATTCTTTAAGGCAGATATCATATGGATCCTGCTTTTGCATACTATAGGCTGGTAATAGAAGAGAGTTTTCCAGTGAATAATCTTAACAAAATATAATGGAGAAAATCATTAACCAATGTGAATCACTGCAGCTCCACTACACTCAATGGAAATATTATGGATTCATACTTTGTTTGCATCTAGGCCAAAAATAATAGGGAAAATTTCCGCTCCATTTTAGCAGTGTAAGCCTGAAATAACTGCATGGATCTCTGCAGTGTCACTCTGGATTTATGCCTGCCTAGCTAAAAGCGCAACGTGGCACATCATATTTTGAGGCCGCGTTGCTTATCTTGCGAGAGCTCTGGCTACCTGCTGTCTGTAGGCATCGCCTGGCCTGTGCGGCAAGGTTCGTTAATACGCTGGGACGCATCAAGGAAACTACAGACAGGAGGGCAGGGGAGGGAAGCTTTCTCTCACATAAATGGCAAATGGATGCTTTTAATGCCCCTGATATTGGCTAAGTGGAAGCTTGTCCCTTTCTAGACAAAAGCAGTTGTCCGTGAAGAAAATTTAAATAATCTGAAAAGGCATGTAGAAAAAAACGAAATATTTTAATGTGAAATGGGCTTTTTATTTCCTTCCTTCCCCTGCCCCCCCCCAAGAAAATGTTCTTATTTCAGCACGTGGGTGTTGAAATTGAGGGTGTGAACGGGACGTGCCGTTACCTGCCAAAGAGGGTCCGTCTGCTCCGGGAAGAGCTCAAAGTACTTATGCGCCAGCTGTACCGGGGGCAGTGTCCGGAGCCGGAGGTTAGTTGAGCTCTTCACAAAGTTGGCCAGGTTCGCAAAGGTGTATAACCCCAGGCGGTCGTTCCCGTAATTGGACAAGTGGGTCATGAAGACACTGATCTGGGAGGCGAGAGAAAGCGTTCAGGAGGGGGACATCAGCAGGTGGCAGGCACCTCCTGGGAAGGATGCGCCAAGCCCTCTCTCCCCCACCCACAAACTAAAGACGTTAAACCAGTCCCACTTCCTAACCTCCCTGCCAGGCTTAATCATTCCTCGTTTTCCTCCACCCTTTGCCTCACCTTTCTGGGGATTTCTTTTTTCTTTTTTTAAGGCAGCTACTCTTTACAGAATCAGCTTGGAAAGCCGACTCATGTGCTATCTGCTCCCCTTGCAGGGTTGGCTGGTTTGCTTAAAATGGCAGGGCTGTAGGTAGATGAGTAAGTTCTGAAACGTGAAACTTTCAAGCCTTTATGAAGGATAGTATCCCAGTTAAATATCCCTGTCATTGATTTCTCCTTAAAGGTAATATAGCTTCTTCCTATTTATCAGCCTTATTATGTTTCTCCTTTACATGGTCACTGCCTTGTAGATCTCATCATTCCCTTCAGAGAGATAAAGAGAAGAATTTGTACGAATGGTGTGAAGAATGTATTTCCTCGTATTTTCTTTATAGGAGGCTATCACACCCAGTTTCACGACTGCAAAGGCCTGCTTTACCTAGCTACCACCATTATTTAGCTTTACGAGAATGCTATCAAAATGAGCATTGTTACTTGACTGTTTTACCCCATAAAGTGGCTGTGGATAGGAGGCACACTGACAGTGGAATTTAAGTATACAGCTATCAAGAAATAACACCATAGTAGTAACTAAACGGTGTACACTTTTCTCTTTCTTCCCGCGACAGCTCCAAAGTAAACAATCTACAATATGCAGCCAATCGCAGAAAGGACAAATTAATTTATGTGACCTCAGCAATTAAACCTCAAAAGGCATGCCAAGTAGGGCACTTCCTAATAATGATACCGTGCTTCAAGGCGGCCTTAATACGAAAGAAAAAATTAAGAGCTATAATGATGCTCATTGTGAACTCCAGAATATGATGGTGAGAGGTTCAGCATTTTGTTATCCTGCCTTAATGCTATCTCAGGCTGGGGAAGGAAAATAAAGCACCAGCCTTGTGGTCACTTGATAACAATGATACATCCACAGACACTAAGAGCTTCACTTTTCCCCAAGTCCTGTGCATCTGTCACAGCTGTGAGTTTCCCAAGACAACAGAGATTATTTCAGATCAAGAATCCCCACAAAGACAGTATCGTCAGGGTCCTTATGTTGTGAAGTGCTCCTTTGCGCGACGTTGAAAATATCTCCATATAGGATGCATATATAGATGACCTTTATGAAAGCGTCCCTTTGTGCTACGCTGAATTCCTGAAGCCAAGGAGAATCCTAGGATAAAACAGAAGCTGAGCTGGACCCTTTGTGATTAGGTGAAACGGTGCTCACTAGCCAGCATCAGTATGTGACAGATCAGATACCCAGGACGCTGACAATATTTTGCCTTTTTTTTTTTTTTCATACAGCCAGTTAACGTGTGTTCTGTGAGAGCACGGGCACAGATTCATTTGTTGTCGGGTCGGACTAGTCTCAGAAGAGGGACATTGACTCAACACTGCATCTCGTGGCCTTTTTGTGCCTTCTTCCCTCCAGAGTTCGCAGCCTCAGGCAAGGCACCCAGCCTGCTAAGCCTCAGCGGGGGCCTGGTGCCTACAGCAGGCGATGTGGCCACTTGGGTCACCCACGTCCCCTTGCTCAGAGGCAGGCTTGCAGGAGGAAACGGGGGGATCAGCCAAGCGTCTGCCAGGGTCACAAGTAAATTACTTGCAGCTGGATACCTGTGGTCAGGTGAGTCTCTTTTGGGAAGACTAGGAAGGGGAATGGGCAGCACAGCTGCAGGCTCTTGGCACTGAGTGCAACCGTGAAAGTCCCTCACTTATAGCGGGAGCATGTGTGTGCTTTCCTGCTTTGGGAGACGTGGCAGGAGACTTGGTGCCCTGAGGGTGTGCTTGGATCAGTGAGCTTTTTGTCTGGAGTTTTTGTGATGTTGGGTGTGTGCTCTGGGTCAGCTGAGGCAGGTAGGAGAGTGTATAGGCTGTGTTTCTTTGAGGGCTTAAATCAGACAGACTGGAAGTGTCAAGGTATATGCTGTTGTAGGTGGTTATGTTTGGGAAACTGGATGACTATCTGGACCCTGGTCCCTTATTTAGAGCCTTGGAGCCCTTGTTTCAGCCTGATAACTAAACTTCCCACTGGTAGGGAGCCCTGAGCCTCAATATTAGGGGCTTTCATGCCTCAAGTGGTGAAGTGCTTGAGGTTATGGGTGCTGCTCTTGCTAACCTATGCAGCTCAGTGCTGCTGAAAGCCAAGAGCTTTCCCAAACAGATCACTGGTACCCCCTTAAAATTGAGCTTCCTCTTCAATATGTTGCTGCTTTGTGGTAGCTGGAGCTTTAGAGGAGGAAAGTGCTGCTGACCAAGATACTGCCTTTGCAGTGAGCCATGCTCTTCTATCTTTTTAGAATAACCACAGCATAAAAAGCAGCAAGCTTTCCACTTTCACCCTGTTGCTCTGCCAATGTGCCACTTCCTTTTTTTTTTTAAACATCAGCCCACAATGTTTAAAAACATGTCCATTAGTTTGTTAAATTATTTATAAGGCTTTTAGTACTTTTTGTAAAGTGAAGATGGATGGGACTTAGGAAAAAGTGTCCCTTATGGCCCATCTGCAGCATGTTTGCACCGCACCCACTTTATTCCACAAAAGGTAACTTATTCTTCATTTTTATTCTGTTATGAGTCTCCTTTGAGCAGAGATTGGCAACTGTACAGGTTTTTTCCTATCAGCTGGACTCTGTAGACTTCAACGCCTATGTGTTTTATGGTTGAAAAGTGTTTGACATAACTGGAGCAGGCATTAAAATTGCCCTATGTTGTGGGTGTCTCCATTTGTAGTACCTCTGAAACTTATAAACAAGCTAGTGAATCTCTTTAGTTTCTCAGTCTGCTGACTCTTTACCCTCCCCACCCCCAAAAATCAAAATTTCTATTCTGATTTTAAGTCCAGCTCATAGAAATATGACAAGCGTGTCTTACACACATTAAAAATGAGGGAAAGTGAATGCTTAGGAAATGTTGATAGAGAATATCTTGCCTCCAAAGTGTGTTTTTGGTTTTTGATAAGTGCCAAAGAGGTCATCAGTGACACTTAATATTACTCCAGGAAATAAAATGTATGCAAGTAAATCTACTTGTTCCTTCTGCTTTAACTTTAACCTTGGATAAGATTTTTTTAATGTAAAAGTGTATCTATATGAGAGATTAGGTCATTCTAATTTAAGAGTTTAATCAATCCACAACATCCAGTTGATCACTCTTTATGGAGTCAAAAAAATCTTGGTTGCCTCTCTTGACATCTTCTGCCCCTTTGGTCTTATTTGAAGTGGAGGAAAAAATATATATATATATGGTATGTTGCATATGGTATAAATGTATATTTCTCTGCTCTTCTGATCCAAATTCCTTGAGAGACAAGGAGGTGGGTTTTGACTGTTCATGTTTACAGCACAGGCATTCACAGAAGCATGTTTAGCAGCTGCTGTGCCCTGAATGTGCTTGAGCAGCCACAGGTGCCTGGAAAAGCCCTGGGTTGGGGCCCTGTGGCTGCTGCTGTGCATGACACGCAGCGCTGTTGCAGAGCGGCGCTGTAGCGCGGCAGGGCCATACAAACAGGGGAAGGCCATCAGCGTCCCTTCCTGCAGGGCTCTGAGCAAAACTGGTGAATAGAAGCAATGGCAACTTGTTTGTGCTTTGCGTGACCCAAATGTCTGCTGTGAGGTGCAGGCTGGTGGTAACCAGCAGCCAGTGTTTTGTCACAGCAGGGTGATGCTTTTCGGAGGGTGGCGTGGCACCGCAGCAGGAGGGAAAAGGCTCTGGTGGCTGTGTGTTAAGCTTGGGTTAAGCTGGCGTAAGCTGTGCATGTTAAATAAAAGCCCTGAGAGCTGCTGAATCCAGAGCTGCTGCTGCTGCCCAGCCCGCAGGCAGCACGGCACGCTGAGTGCAGCCAGTTGTGTGCGCCGCTTTGGAGCTCGTCCTGGTCCCTGGGACGTGGGTACCTGGGCATGAGCGCTCGGCAGGGCGGTGGGGCTCAGATGATGCTGTGGTTTGTACCAATGCGATATCTTACTAGTTCTGGTAATTTGTCTCTGCCTTTGGCCCCTTCACTGTGATCACTGATACTTTGAGAGCTGCTGCCTCCCTTTCGCTCCCCATAACACATCCTCCCACCCCAGCCCCATCGCTTTCCTGCCTCTGTGGTCAAGATGCTTTTGTTACAGAAGTGTTCTTCTATTATTATTATTTTCATTCCCTATCTCTTTGTATGCAGATAAAGAGCTATAGCTTTTCAGCAGTGGATTGCAAAAGATTTTACAAAAGCAGAGAGTGCTGAGATTTATATTTGGCTGGTGAGGAGCCTGAGGAATGGTGTGATTTGCAGAAGATAAATTGTGAGGCCGATTAAAGATTTGGGAAGCCAGATACTGGGGTGGATCAGAGGTTATCTTCTAGACAGAAAGTTGGGCACTGAAGTATTTGAAAGAAGAGAATAGCTACTAGTATCAGTTAGAAGGGGGAAGAACTATCTATAGAAAGAGATTCCCTATCCAAGTAACAAATAGCTGGGGACAGCTCTTCAAAGTCGATGGGATTTCCCTCCTTAAACCTGCCCTCTGTTTAGAGAGAGCTGCGTTAGCCTGCTTTCTCCACCTTCAAGAGCCTCGTGTAGAAGCAATAGGGGCCAAAGCCGTGACTGTGAACTGCCTTTGTAATTTTTATATATATATTAAAAATAGATGTCTAATGTAAAAAAAAATCCTGCTTTTTGCTCAGCACTGCAACCATTCAAACTGGTGCAAAGCAAAGTGTCCAGCCAGCTTATTTCTCCCTGTTTCTGTTGCTTGCTCTGTAATATTACAAGTAGGTCCACAACTGCAACTTCTCTATCCCCTAAAAGAGGGGGAGGAGGAGAAGGGTGGGCCTAGATCTCTCAGGCCACCTGCA